GTGTCCCTTTGCTTGGCCTCCCAGAGTGCTAGGATTGCAGGCATGAGTCACCATAGCTGGTCCCTTTATTTGACTTTAACCAGCCATAGTGTCAGGAAACAGGCTCTGTGAAGAAACATTTGGAAGTACTTGGGTCACTAAAGTCAGAAATTTATGAAGCTCCAGCATGCTCAAGAAGTCTTCCCTCCTCTGACTATGGAACAGTTGGGTAAAGCCAATGGAAGACTGTATTTCCCACCTTAGGAGCAAGGAGGGAAGCAGGAATGCTTCAGCTTGGATTGGAAGATGTGTCTTAAACACAGTAGCGATGCCATTCTCTTAAGAGCAGTGATTCAGAATGAGGTAAGAAAACTTGTAGGGGCAAGTCCAATTCATCTATTTAAGGCAGTAATCAGAGGTGTCCACATATGTACTAAGAACAGGGAATATTTAACAGAATTTTGCAATCTTATGCTGGAAGGGCCTTCAACAACAATCTAGTCCAACCTTTTCATTGTCATGGAACTGTTTCTTCAAACAAAAGCTTCCTAAGAGCTCAAATGCAAACTCCTTTGAAAGGAGGATTGGTTTGGTTGTAGGGTGAGGGCAAGGGGAGGCAAAAATTAAAAGTATATTTACAAAATTAGAAAATTTGTAAAAAATCATCATGGAAGAAAACCTTTTTATTTACATTTTTTATCTTAGGCTAAAGCAACATTGATCACAAAGAATAAAGTTCCCCAAACCCCCAAACTTCCCCAAATTAAGATAGATTCTTAATTTATAGAGTGAAGAGAGACTTTGGATCTTTAGGGGCATTTTTACTTGGAGGCATGAGAACAGGGAATATAACTTTTAGTCCCACGGAAATGAGCCTTGGGTGAAATTTTTAAGATGTATGGGTGTGTTCTTTGTTGACTTGGGAGAATGAGGGCCAAAGTCCCACCAGGTGGCGCCCGTGTTCTGCATCTTGAGAACGTTTGGTTTTCTCCGGAGGCATCAAGAGGCCTGGGGCTTTGCAGGTCTGGAAAATCCGCCTCTATGCCACACTCAAGAAAACAACACTTGTTTTCGTGTTTTATCCTCCTCTCTTCTCCCTTTTGTTTTCCTGTTTTATCCTCCTTCCTTCTCTCGTTTGTTCCAGAAATGGAAATCTACTTAGCTCTAGTGTTAGTGAGGTGTCTTAAATTTTCAGAAACGGAAAACAACACATTCCAAGGACAGAAGACAGAACCGTCTTTCCTAAGAGTCTGGTGCAGCAGGAAGGCAGGCCATTTGAACCTTCTAGTTCAGGCTTCGCCACTTGCTGATTATGAAGCACTGCTCCGCTGGCCTCAGTGTTTTGATCTGAAAAATGACTCTTTTCGGTGGTACGCTATTTGCATGGGACACAGACAAACCCCAGCTTCAATTCCGGATTCTAGCTAAATCTGTAAAAGGATCTTATCTGGTATGGTTACTGAGATTAAATAAAAGAATGTTCATAAGTGCAACTACTGTGTTAATAAAGGGGTTTACTATTATTGCTTTCTTACGCAACTCATTACCCTCCGGAGTGCTGCCCCGCAGAAGGAAAGACTAAAGCAATATACGTATTTTTTTAGTTAATTTTAAATTCATATTGAAGGAGAAGGGTTTAGAAATCCGGAGTGCAACGTGCTACTTAAAAGACAGTGGAGAGGGAGGGGCGGGCCGCGCTTCTGGGACACATGTTACACGCTAATTGCTACCTTCCCCCACCCAGTACCGTGAGAGGAGAGGGTCTTTTCTCCTCTCTCAGACTTGTGCTCTGCCCCCAAGTCGCCTCCAGAAAACCCTGCCGCTTGAGCCATGAGCCCTTCGCCTCCCACCTCCCGAGCCAGCTACAGGACCCCAGCCTCTAGCTGGAGGGGAGCGCCGCAAGCCGGGACCGGGCGGGCCTCTGGCTCCGCCTCTGTGCGTCAGCGCGCAGTAGCAAAGAGGCGTTTCCCGGGGCGTGCCGCGGTTGCCAGGCGACCACACAGCTCCCCCTCCCACCCCTGCAGCGGCGCCTTTCCCACTCCCGGCCAGGGCCAGTCGCGAGCTAAGGCGCGCGGAGCTGCAGTGTCTGGCTCAGAGTCCCCGGGGAAGATCACGCCTTGGAGTCTGCAGTCACTGCGCAGGTGGACGCGCCCGGGCCGGACCCTCCAACCGCCGCCCCTCCCCCCGCGGGGTCCCGAGCTAGGTCATGGGGGGCACCGCTCGCGGGCCTGGGCGGAAGGATGCGGGGCCACCCGGGGCCGGGCTCCCGCCCCAGCAGCGGAGGTAACGGCGCCACGGGTAACGGGCTGGGGGCGCCCAAGTGAGCTGCTGGAGCTGGTAGGCGAGGCCGGGGGGCGGGGAAGCCCACGGCTGAGCAAGCCCCCAGCTGGAGGAATGAGGGAAGGGGTCTGACTCCCTCCCGGGAACCCGGCCCCCCTTCCTCTCCATCAGCGCCTCCTCCCACTGTGAACTGGGGAAGAGGCTAGAGCAGAGTTAGAAGAAGAAGAGTTTCCACTCTTGGATTATCTCTAATTCCTTAGATCGGCAGAACGTGGTAAGGGACGCTGAAAACCTAGGACTTTTTGTGGGGCTTTTTAACAAACTAAGGAAGCCGGAGAGCAATATCTTTGAAAGAAGCCCTGTTGCTTAGAGGCTGAACTTTCGGGGCTTTGCTAGGGGGAGTGCGGTCTGCCTTCTGATGTGCAGGTTTGGGGCTGTACTGGGTGGGGCTTTCTCCGAATCCTATTTTGAGAGATTCCGCACCTACCATTTATTTTACACCTAAATAGAAAGAAGCGCCCCCCAATCCCCCGCTTTATTTGCATGGAGGCTTCCTGTTGTTCATTTCCTTGGGCTGTTAGGAAATCTTGCTGGTCTTCCGCGTCTGTTTCTCTGTGAATGTGGACCCTTGTCCCGTTTGGTTTATCAAGCTTATGGCAAAGGGTCAGTTATATCCGGAATATTTGGTTTCTGTTGGTGAAGCAGTTCCCAGTTAAAAATAATTCTAATTATTCTGTAAGAATGTGAACATGTTTTTCAAAAAGAGAACGTTTCAAAAATATTTGTAGTAGGTTTTTCTTGGTTTACTTTTTGTATTCCTATAAAACATCCGTCAGGAAAACTCTAGAACTAATTTAACAAGCCAGTTTTTAAAGGCGAGTAAAATATTCCAGGACATTTTAAAAAAGACATTAAAATTTTTTCCCCCTGCAATATGGTTACTGTTGTAGTCACAGGGTATCGTGTAAAATGATACAATGAAATGCTGATGCTGTGTGTGATCGGGAAACCCACTGATCTTGGTAGCAGATGAAATACATTATTCAGGGCCATCTTGTGGATTAAATAAATCTGTCTTTTGTGTTCCCTTACAGTGGTGTAGCCACACTGTTAAATAATAGAGAAATAACTCTCAATCGTTTAGCATTTTGCCTCTCCCATCCACAGGAAAATGAAATAAATGCAGTACATTTTTTAACTTAGAGCATTTGTTTAGTGTTTGCTATGGTATTCATTGTGTTTTTCTACAAATTAGGCAGATGTAAGTAGGTACATAAATAAATAAAGAGAAGACAGCCCTAAAAAGGCATTTTATTTCTTGCCTGTAAGACCTAGAAATGTATAGACTGAAACTCTTCTTCCCATTAAAATGTGGAGGCTCAGAGGGGCAAGTAGCACAGTCAGTGTTAGAGCTGAGATTGGAATCCAGATCTCTGACTTTGAAAAAGCAACTAACTTCTTGTTATTTTTTCCTATTTTGGTTTTTACGCTTCACATTCAAACTAGCCTTTGTTTTCAAGTAGTAAGTTAGATGAGATACATTTGATGGTTCCTATTTTTTGAAATGGCATTCAGAAAGTAAGACCTATTATAAAATACAAACCAAGAAATTCAGTCCCTCCCTTCCTCCTCCTCTCTCTTTCTTTTTCTTTTCTTTCTTTCTTTTTGACAGAGTCTATCTCTGTTGCCCTGGATTGAATGCCCTGGTGTCATATAGCTCACAGCAACCTCAAACTCTTGGGTTTGAGCAATCAATCCTCTTGACTCAGCCTCCTGAGTAGCTGGGACTCCAGGCACCACCACTGACCCAGCTAGTTTTTTTGTCTCGCTTTTACTCATTTTTCAGTAGAGAGAGTGTCTCACTCTTGCGCAGGCTGGTCTGAACTCCTAAGCTCAAGCAGTCCACCTGCCTCAGCCTCTCAAAGTGCTAGGATTACAGGCATGAGCCACTGCACCTGGCCCTGTTCTTTCTTTTAAAAAGGAAAAGAAAAGTTGGATCTCATCTGTTCTGCCAAATATCTCAGTTGTTTGTATTGAATACCAAAATGCAGTGTAGACATTTATTTCTGTGCTAGTTCCTTGTAGCAGATATGAAGCACTTAAGCCGCAGGATATTTTGGAAATACAAATTTATATTCTATAGTTACTGACAGATTTTTATCTATAATCCTTTCAACTAGATTGGGGGATGGTGTCTATGATACCTTCATGATGATAGATGAAACCAAATGCCCACCCTGTTCAAATGTAGCCTGCAATTCTTCTGAACCACCTCTACCCAGAAGAGTAAATGTAAGTAAAAGAAGTAAGTCTTTGCACTCTGTCTTGGAAAAGAGTTAGTGCAGGAACAGTGATGGATCACTGACAACCCAGACTCTTCAGTTTCCTTTCGGTTTCGTCTGACTTGGGAACAGCAATTTCTGTGGTCCAAATTTAGCTTTTCAGAAAGATTTAATGTGGAGCCCACTGTTTTCTTTCTATTTCCACTGGGATAAATATATAGCAAGTATATATTTGCTATGTAACTATACATATATAAAACTATGATGCTTTTATGAAAATAATGCTTCTTTTCATAGAGGATGATATACAGAGGGATTGCAAAGGCTCCTTTTAATGAAAACAAGAGCCAGAAAGCATCTGAGAATCCATAGATGTGCACATTTTTTTCCCCTTGGAGATAGAAAGGCAGTCCTAGCTTATTAGTGTACTTAAGAGTACCGTTTTATAGATCATAAATAAAACAGTTTGGGTTTTGGTGCATTTAATCATTTTGGGGACTGCAGACACTTAGCTTTTGACATCATTTTACTTAAGATAATAATAAAATTAATTCACATTCCCTCAGTACACGTAGAGTAATAGGCACAGCAGGGTTTGGACAAGTTCCATGACAAGGAGACGCTGTCCTGTGACTTTAATTTTGCTGCATTTGTCATCGAATGAACAATTGGATGCCTGAAGTGGCTGAGCTGTAATAGTTTTCTTTCTCGTTTCTGCGCTTAAAATCTGAAGTTGTTTCTATATAGAAAAAGATTACATGTACGTTTCATAGTCTTTCACAAGTTTTCATCACTTTTTGCTTATTTTCAACCTCTTCGCTTTCAAGGCTGATAATATACAAAGCCTGGGCTAAAAATAAGAATGGCCACTCTATTTTTAATCTCCTTTCTGGGTAGTGGAGTTTTTTTCAATTCTTTGCAAGTTTCTTTAATGTATAAAAACCTCTGAGAACTGTATAGCCCTTGTGTTGACCAGCGGATTTCTTAGCTCTTTGCTGTCAATCAGCACATCCCTCTGGGAAACTTTTTGCAGTTTGGCTGGTGTAACATCTGGCTTTGATTTTTACTTTGATTCAGAGTTGGCTAACACCTTGCAATGGGTGGTGAAAATTGTAAGTTTCAGGATTAAAATGAACTTCTTACTGCATGGTGTACAGAGTAACAGTTTTTGAGAGGCAGAGCTTTTTGATTCTAACTTAATGGTATCTTTGCAAACTATGCTGAAAAATATTTTTTTGACCTCTTGGTGCCACTACTGTTGGTTATACAGTGACTCCATCTAAGATCCTCTTGCCCTTTCCACAAAGTCTTTTAACTTCATTGTTATTCAAAAAAGCTCTTATATTCTCATTGTAAACTAAATCGTCTGCCCATGGTCTTTTATTGGGGTAAGGTTTATGTTGCTGGGATTAAGGGTTGGGAGCTGGAAAAAGGATAGAGTTTTATATGTAGGTGAGAAGGATATTCCTTCTGAACTTGTCAACAAGATGTTTAAGATTCGATTAATATAGTAGAAGATTCTGTTTGAAATGCTGTGAGCCCTTCAGCTTAGCAGCATGTGTGAAGCATTCCTATGAAATAAAACATGGTAATTCTGACACTGACTCTCTAGATGGTTAACAAACTATCTGGTAGTGGGCAGCGCCTGTGGCTCTGTGAGTAGGGCGCTGGCCCCATATACCAAGGGTGATGGGTTCAAACCAGACCCTGGCCAAACTGCAACAAAAAAATAGCCAGGTGTTGTGGCAGGCACCTGTAGTCCCAGCTACTCAGGAGGCTAAGGCAAGAGAATCACCTAAGCCCAAGAGTTGGAGGTTGCTGTAAGCTGTGACACCACAGCACTCTACCAAGGGTGACAAAGTGAGACTCTGTCTCTAAAAAAAAAAAAAAAAAAAAAAAAATATATATATATATATATACATATATATATATATATTTGGTAGAATTGATCTTAAACATTGCTTGGTTATTGTGATTGTAACCCTAGATTAGAAATATATAATGTTTTATAACTGTTAACACTTCAACATGTGTGAACATTGTAGCTGTTTCTAGAACAATGGAAAGAAGGGTTTTATTTATAGCACAGCAGACTGGATACATAGTTGATTCGGCCAGTATTTGAGTTATTTATAGGAAAAGAAAGAAAGCTAAGGCAAGAACCCTTCCCTGTGTGGAAAATTTCCTTCCTGGAATTCTCCAGATTCAGTGGAGAATAATCTGCATAGTGGATTACACCTGAAACAGCATATTCTGCTCTGGAAGCCACAGTTTAAGAAAGACATAAACACAATCTGTGTTGAGAATGTGAACAGGTTAGTAAGGGAACCTGACACGTGCTGGGGAAGGAAGGAGAATGTAGTGAGGATGTGAACCTCCAAAAGGTTGATGGGGGCAGGACTGGCCCTTTCAGGTATCCAGAAGGCGATTTTTTTTTTTTAGCCCATTCTTATGCAGAAAGAACAGAAGGCTCTTCTATGAACTTTGGATATTTCTGTGTAGTTCCCAAGAGCAAAGTAAGACCAGTTTGCAGGAAGAAAGATTTAGGGTCACGTAGGGAGATCCTAAGTCAGGAGATCCAAGTGGCATCTTAACCTTACTATAATAGTTATGTGGAAATTAAATTTCTGTTGTATCTGTTCTGATTAATGTTCTGTGCCTGAGACCCTGTCTTTATCACAAACAGAAATGAAGACCTCCAGAGCCAGCGCAGCCTTACATGTAGGCAGAGTAGGTGAAATTCCCAGGGACGGACCCTGGACCACAGATACCTTTCCTACCAGCTTGTCATTGATGACTGCAGTTCCTAGAGAGGCATTCCTTTGGGTTAAGGCATTGATCTTCTGATAAAGTTCAAATATCCCTGGAGAGGTAACACATTAAATTGTATAGCAGGTGGAAAGCAGGTTTTGTGTGGGGGAGAAGGTGGGTGAGGTGTTTCTGAGCATCCTAAGGGAGGGCCTGTTGTGGGAGCCCTCACTGAGTAGAAGGCATATTTAGTGCTAGACTTCAGTGGAGGAAGACCAGACTAGAAATACAGAGGAAACCACCAGAGAGGCGGTAAATGGAAAAGAAGCAGGGAAAGGTATACGGGAATTTAAACCTTAATATACCGAGAATTTTGCCTAATCGTAACCAGTGTTTTAAAAATGTTTTGTAGTTTATAAACACTTTTAACATGTATTATTAATTATAATTTGTTTCACACACCATTCTTCAAGCAGATACTACTGTCACGTTTTACAAAGAAGGATCAGGCCTAAGAAAGTTTAAAGTTAAAGTTACCTGCCTGGGGAGCTACAGCTTTTGATTAGATAGCCAGGCCCTAACCCGGGCCTTCTGACTTCATCTTTCTTTAGGTTGTGTCCCAAAGACTAGAGCAGTGAATGTTTAGGTGCACTAAAGTTCAGTAGTAAAAGTTATAAGGAAAATCGGCTAAGATGAACGCAGATGACTACATTTGTTATGTACATCTAAAAATCTTTTTGTCCTTTTTTGTTTATGTTTTCAGTTTTTAATATTGTTTCTTCGTGTGTTTTTGGTAATATATAAATACAGGTTTTGGTTTGCTTAGGTTGTATTAAAATTTATTTTCTAAAGATGGCAACACTTTTTAACTTACATTTTTAGCAATTAAAACTAGCTTAAAGCTCCTCTGAAATTAGCTGCCTTTGATACTGGAGGCTCTCTGCAATTATCAAACAGATAAGGGGTACAATTTCTCAGGGTACATTGAGGAAAATAAATGTTGTTTAAGAATCCAGGACTTTGGCTTGGTGCCTATGGCTCAAGTGACTAAGGTACCAGCCACATACACCTAAGGTGGCGGGTTCAAATCCAGCCCCAGCCTGCCAAACAACAATGATGGCTGCAACCAAAAAATAGCCGGGTGTTGTGGCAGGCACCTGTGGTCCCAGCTACTTGGGAGGCTGAGGGAGGAGACTTGCTTGAGCC